TAGCTAAGAGAATATGCCATCCCCTTTTCCTTATGAATCAGGGTGAAGTCTCTCTCAGGGAGGAGTGATAGGGAATGGCAAGGGACACACTGACGAAGGAGATTAATCAGAACTGGCTTTGAAAAGCACTGTGGCAATTGGACAATTAAAACAGACATGGGGGGGGGTAAGGAGGGTGGAGAAAACAGTGCAACAATGAATGAATGAAAACCCAAAATCTCTGTAATTGTTCATTAAAACTAATAAAATTTAATTTAAAAAAAAGGATCATAGTCTTCGATGTTATTTCAACCTCTATCAGAGGAGAGTTTGAATTTTATTGCTCAGTAATTTTTCCCTTACACTACCCAGAACCTTTTATTGTCTGCTCCCTTTGAAAGAATCAGTAGTGATAGTCAAGTACCATCTAATTCTTATCAGAAGTGTTTCAATGAGTCCATCCTCTTGTTGGAACTGACTCAAAACTGACCGTCCAGCAGGTTTTCAGAGGCAGTAGAATTACAAGGGAGGAGATTGCCTATCCCTCAAGGCAACCATAGTTTTTTCATGAAATAAAATCAGACAATAACAAGTTTATATTTTGGTCTTCAGGAAACATCTTGGAGTCCAAAGATAGTTTCTATCATATTCAATCTTGGAGCTTATGATACTCTAGTGATATCGATATCTTAAGTGCATGACAAGTTGTACTACACTATACTGTTAACCCCCAAACGACACACCTCTGGCAGTTCAAATTCATCAGTGATTCCCCCGGGGGAAAATGGGCAGTCTCCTCCTGTTGCACTGTAGTCTTGGAACCTCAGTAGAAGGCCACTGAGGGTCAGAACCGACTCAACAGCAGTGAGTCTGACTTCTGGGAAGACACTTCATTCAAATCACGCGAAGTTCACATCATATTTCTCTAAGAAAAGGTGATTTCAGATGACATTCAATCTACTTTTAGTAAAACTGTAGCAAGTACTTCTGAAAATACTTTAAAAGTGTTTAAGCCCCAATCATAACATTTATAATCTTTTCTTTCTTATACTGATATTTTGTGAAAGTTGTTTCATTTTTCTGAATTTTTAAATGGTTTAAACAGCATAAAGAATTAACCCAGAAGTATTTTATTACATTAGATTCAGAAAATACCCATTTTTACATCAACACATCTTTTAAAAAAATCTTAAAATTAAGCCAATGAAGGGTTTCCTATGGTTCTATTCCCTTTGCTATTGAGAGAATGTGCATGGACAAATATTAATTGTTTTTATGAAAAGTGCCTTCTTTTGAAAGTCAACAGGAACTCAGCCTGCTCTCCCCTCTGTGACAGGCACCAGCATCTTCACTGTCTATGAGGCGGCTTCGCAGGAAGGCTGGGTGTTCCTCATGTACCGAGCAATTGACAGCTTCCCCCGCTGGCGTTCCTACTTCTACTTCATCACTTTAATATTCTTCCTTGCCTGGCTTGTCAAGGTATTACAAATGTTCCCACAAATACAGATCTGTGTTTTATTAGCATTTCTGCAGATCTTTTGTTTCTGACTGTAGACTGCTACCTCCTTCCTAGTGCTTGGTAAACATGGTTTGTCACTTTTCTTTCAGAACGTGTTTATTGCTGTCATCATCGAAACCTTTGCAGAAATTAGAGTTCAGTTTCAACAAATGTGGGGATCGAGAAGTAGCACGACATCCACAGCTACCACACAGGTACTGTGTCCACAAGATGATGCCATAAACATCTCAAAACGAAATCAGACCCCTTACCTCTGAGTTAATTTTAACTAATACAAACACATAAAATAGATTTGAACTGCCCCACTAGGCTATAACCTTTATGAGTCAGATGTCCAGGGCTTTTTTCTGATGAGTGACCAGAGAATTCCAACCATCAACCCTTTAGTTGGCATCTGAGTACTTAACTACTGAGCACACTCCTCCCCGACCATCAAATATACTTAAGGATGTTCTGTTGTACAAGCATGTCTCTTTTTATTGCACTTCGAAGATACTAGGTTTGGGGGTTCTGGTATGGTTTGTGTTTTCATTTTGAAACAAAATGAAGTTTCTTTACAACTCTGTGTTTATCAAGTATAACAGCACCTTTTCTCCAACGGTTCATGTTCACATCGAGTCGCTGTGTCACATCTTGGCAATTCTCATAATACTTCAACATATTATAGTCCTATTCACACTAAATAAGCCCCTGCAACCAAAATTAAATCCACTACGCTGGAGTTGGTCCCTACTCATAGCAACTCTCCACGGAATTTCTGTGGCTATAAATGTTTACTAGAGAACATAGCCCATCTTTCCCTTCTGTAGCAGTTGGTTAGTTTGAATTGCCAACCTTTTGGTCAGCAGAGAGATACTCTATGTACTATACCAGCACTCAGTGAGTCAGAGCCAACTCACAGCTAATCCTACAAGTCGTTTTCAGAGGCTATGAATTGCTTGTAAATTGCCAAGTTTCTTCAGTAGAGCCACTGGTGGATTTAAACTCCCAGAGGCGCCACCTTTGGGTCAGCAGTGCAACTGCATCCAGATTGCTACCAGAACTCCCCAGTATGCCACCAGGGCTCCTGTAACAAACTATGTTATAGGGTAAACATAAGGCTTCCATGTACTGGAAACCAACAAGGGTGTGTGACACAGTTTATTGCAGCAATATTGACTTTATTAAAGTGATCTGGAACTGAGATTGCTCCAGTAGCTCTGAGGTACGCCAGTACAGGCTCATGCTATCTCACTCACTTGTAGAGATGTTTTTAAAAAAATATGTCATTGTCCTAAACCCTAAGAAGAGCCACATCAGACTTCCCAGGCAGTAGAGCAAAGGCTCTGATATTTTTATAACTCCATGATGCTAAAAATTAGGATTACTAACCAAATTTATTAAGCGTCTTTGATTCATTGAAGTACTCAGAGGGCTTGCAGATAACATAATGCCAACTGTGGAAATATATATTTATATATATATATATATATATATTAGAATTTTTTTAATAGCAAGTATGTTTTGTTCAGAATAATTGATCACAGGATAACAAGCTATGAAGAAGGCCCTAGTCTTTAAACACACACAGTGATTTTTTTTTTTTAGGATTGCTATATAATCGGAAGAATTCCTTTATGCCTCTAATGAATTGGAAGTGCCTTGACATTTGACTAAAAGCAGCAGGACAGTTATTATATAAATGAGCAATTTAAATAAGGTGCCTTTGTATTTGTTTTTTGTTACTACAAAGAGGAAGGGCAGAACGAAAGAGATTGGTTAATTCTTTATCAGAGAAAGCTTTAAAGTTACTGAATCAAGAGTGAAATTATATTTCTCATTAAAATCTAAAAAAATATTTTAAAAGAGTAAAGTAATATTTCAATGTTTGATGATGTAATACATTTTAAAACAGTGTAAATCTGTAAATAATAATATAACTCTATTGTGGCAAAGATCTCTATGGCATATTCAAGATACAAATTTTACTATGAAGACTTTCAGATAAAATTTTAATAATTATAGGATGAAATGCTGTTGCTGTATACTGTGGAGTCAGAACTGACCCATAACTGGCTCTCCAATAGGTTTTCAGAGGCAGTTAATAGCATGGGGGGGATATTGCCCATTTTTCTCCCAGTGGAGCAGCTGGTGAATTCGAACCGCATATCTTTATGTCAGCAGAACAATTTCTCATCACTAAACCACCATAGCTTACAGTGTTTCAAGTTCATAATTTAAGATAGAATGGCATCAACTGATTTTTATAGATGGAATATTATTAATTCTATATAATTTTTACAATAAATTATAAACTGTAAAAGATTTTTTAAATAGCCTCTATTGTTTTCCTTGTACGTAGAGTAATCTAATGCCTCTTATTCCTACTTCTTTCTCATCACTTTTAGCAAGAAGACTAGAATCTAGAAGCACTAGTAAGTCAGTCAGCAGTTGTAATAGGAAGAGAACTGTACGGAGACTTTGAACAAAGTTGGACAAAATTACATTGATGCAAAATTGCACTTAATCAGGAGGAATAAGTTAGCAATTCAGAGGTAGTTCATCCAGATATTCTGCAGAGGCAATCACACAGAGAATTGTGGAAAAACCTTCATTAAGAAAAACTCCAACGCTGAGGACCTGGTTGCTAAGCAACAGAAGCCCCTGCTGTCAGCTTCTTGATAAACCACCACTTAGGTATCCTAGCAACGGGCGTTTCAGGCCCCTCCCAGCACCTTGCCAGCCACAAAGCAAGTGGCGGTAAATGTTTTTATTTGTATAGCAAGCAAGATACATCATTTTCTGTGATTCTTCTATTTTGGTAAAATCAGGCAGGGCTCTGCACAAGGGTCTTCTTGTTAAATACTTTTAAGGACCAGGCCACAAGGTTATAATTCTACTAAAACAGTAGGCATTGAGGAAACAAAATAAAGATGACTATTGCAAAGTACAATACAAAGTTTTTCAGAAATGAGACCAATTCTTGCCTTTCTTTAGTCACAGAACATTTACAGTTCTTCTGTCTAAATTATCCTGCAAAAATGAGCATGTTGTTTTCTGTCTTTTAATTTATGGACTTCTATGAGCAGAAAGAAAGTTGTGCTGATGAACAGGACAAGTATGAGATTTTCAAACATTTTAAACACTTCACTAGGAATTGATTCTTCTATAAACTGTTCAGTTACAAAAGGGTATTATAAATAAGAACTATTCCTTACAAATAGCAAAAGGATGGATATTTGTTGTTGTTTGTTTTCAACTTAATGGAAGCCACCGAAGTCACAGCATAGAAACATATAGTCACAGCATAGAAAAATAAATCATAGAAAAAAATCAATATCAAGGTCTTTTGGAAACTATAATATGACTTATACCAGGACTACAAAAAGAAAGGTGTCTGAGGAGTTTCAGATTAGTAATGATGGGTGTGGCAGAGCACTGGTGGAGACTGTAACTTTTGCACCTCCGTAATTTTTAGACATGGGCAATTGCATTCTCACTCACTCACCAACAGAAGTGCCACTCACCCATGACAGAACACCACTTTGTCCAAGGGCCTGCCCTGCCACAATTGTTGTAGGACTTTTATCCCTAGAACTGTGTGCTGTGACGTGCAGACAAGCTAGAAGGAAATGTCCTAGGCATTTTCCTGAAGTTCTTGTAGAACAGGTTTGTTCCATCCTAAAAAGTCAGTCACTTTTACTCAATAGCAGTGAGTTTTGTGTGTTTTAACTAAAAGAGAGGAGCCTCGGTGGTATAGCGTGTTAACTACAGGTGGCTAACCAAAAGGTCGGTAGTGTAAATCCATCAGGCACTCCAAGGGAGACAGATGGGCAGTCTCCTCCTGTAAACAGCTTTGGAAACCTGCTGTAGGGTCTTTGTGTATCAAAACCAAACTCCTTGGTAGGGATTTTGGTTTTTAACTGAAATAGATGATTGATGAGAGTAGGATGGATATAGGGGAGGAAACAGAAGATTCTCTGGAAGTCTCCTTTCTTTCTGTTTCCATTAAAATTCCTAGAATATGTACTTCCAAATTACCTGAAGCATCCTTTGTTATATAGATGATATTGAGTTAAAAAAATGGAACATTTCTGTAAAGACAATAAAAATTGAATTAATTATTTTCTTCCTTTCTGCCATGAAGAATGATAAGCACTTTTGGAGAATACTAAATAAAGACAAAATCAAAAACAGAAGAACACAAAACTGCTTTTGAGTCTATTCCAACTCATGGTGACCCTTTGTCTGCTTTCCAAGGCTGTAAACATTTGTTGTTGTTGTGATGGTGTACTATTGAGTCGGTACAGACCAATAGCTGACCCTCCACTGGGTTTTCAGAGGCAGTAATCTCACAGAAGGAGATTGTCCATCCTTCTCCTGCAAAGCAGCTGGTGGATTCTAACCACATGCCTTTGGAATTGCAGCACATCTTCTCTAGTATGAATTAATAGTATGGCATGCAATGCACTGTACGATGTTCTTGAAAGAAGCAGTATGACATGCTATACCAGCTTCGTGAAATAACTAAAAAAGCATGTACTTTCATTACAAATTTTAGAATATATTTTTTTTTGGCATTAAGTCTATAGGGTGTAGGGTTAAAGAAAAGGAGACCCTTGGGGACACAATGGTGAAGTATTCGGTTGATAACCTAAATGTCAGTAGATCGAAAGATAAAAGATGTGACAATCTGCTTCCAAAAAAGATCTTCAGCTTTGCAAATTCTAGTGGGCAGTTGTAGGGATCAGTCCATAGGAGATCGTCCTGGGGAGATGGGTAGAGGCTCAGAGAAAGAGAAGAAAACCCTCAACAAGATGGATTAACACAGGGACTGCATTCATGGGACAGGGCATATCAGAGATGATGACGATGGCACAGGATAGTGCCAGGTTCTGATCTGATGTTCACGAGTTGCTGTGAGTCCTAGTTTATTTGATAGCATCTAACAGCAGCAACATCCTGCCCAATAAGGTGACTGTAAGACTGATAGTCATTACTGACTTAATGGTAATGAGTTTGATCTGGGGATGTGTGAGCTGTGTGTGTGTGTGTGTATCTCTTGGGTTTGTGATTTAAATTTAGCTGATAATGTCGCTTCCTAAGATTGTTTTCTTTACCATCTCCCTGTTACTATTGTTGTTACCGTATGATGTTGATGATGATTTTATTCAGTGGAACAATCCCCAAAGCATTCTTATTTAGTGAATCAATT